CCATTCCCCCCCCCCCCCCCACCACGCGACAACGCTGTGTCTTCCTCAATTGATTATATATCGGCTCAGGGTATCAGGCGGCGGCACGGAGTTTGCGATACCCAAATTTTGGCTCTATCGGATGTGTCTTGCGTTGTTGGCCGGCCTGTGAGAGCCGTAATTTTCGGACAAAGCATCATATCATTGGTTGATAGGGAATGACTGAACACGCCCGGGTAACTTTCGGAAAAAGTAAAATTAGAACTAACTTACTGTTGGCTATCACATGGCGATGATCCCGGCACTCTACTAAAAGGATACAGGTACCGGGAAAAGCGTTTCCCGCTGCTAACTTACTTGTACGGTATTGCCAGTTGACAAAAAAACTGACGTCCTAATACGGTACACGTATGATACCTTTTGCTATGATATACAGTATGGGCGTCCAGCCCGGTTCCAAGACTTGGCTGAACATTGCCGCGCCGTGACCTTCCTTTCCGTGGGCAGTGCCCGATACACAGCTATTTGCAGCTAAAGGGACATGTCCTAGCGCGCTGGGTTCGTGCCTACCCATAGCCGTATTGCCGTGGCAATTGGTCTTGGGGTTCATGAAGCGCTGCCGACCCAGCCGGGTCAGGTTTCGCCGAATTTGCCCTGTTTTGCATACGGTAGGTAATGACTTTGCCCGACTCACCATGGGTCCATGACCCATGCCCAAGAACTAGATACGTGGCTCCCACTTTCGCAAAATATTTAGAATCAAAATTTGAATAGCAAACTCCAACCGTCAGTAGTGTCCCTCCATCCGCCTGCCCGAAATTGCTTGCATCAATGGGCAAACCTAAAATCCAATCTCTTGTTCCCCTCGTCCTTTGTCGCCGCCAGGTAATTCGCCCTCTCTACACTTCCCATTCGCCCCCATATCTCTTCTTTGGACCGATTCCTCCACCTATAGTACTTCTTAACACCCCAGAAGAGAAAAATGTCGGAAACGGTGATGAATATCAATGCCGTATTCCCTCTGCGATCTGTTCGCTTCGTTAGCTTAGCCGTTTCTCCAGGTACTCCCGGGGGGATTACTATTGGTAGTAAAATAGATCTATCACTACTAATAACTTTATATAAAGTTACTAGTTTATAGTTTATTGAGCTGCTCAAATACAATTTGCCAGTCAGGATCAAGAGTAACTATTCTTTAATCCTTTCCAATACCAATTTATCACTGCTGGGCCTTCTATTTATCGAAATTCATTCTGACTTCATTGGATGTCTCTTCTTCCATCTTGCCTGCAAATGAGTCTCAGGAATATCAAAGTCATGAGCAGTACCAGCCACATTTGGCCTATCACTCTTAATCAACTTCTTACAACTTAAAGCAAGCTGGATCTGAACCTCAATCTTGTTATAATTCTCACCTGTGGTTGTTATGTTTTGGTTGAATAATAGGAGGAGAGTCTTGGTGGACTTGACAAAAAATCTGACATTGAACTGAATCTGGCATTGAGCTGTTGGGCACGTCATAGATATGCTATGAAAATTTGAACTGCTTGCATTACACAATTTCAGCAGGAACCTTGGCACGGTTAAGGCATTGCGTCCTATGGGGCAAGCCAACCCAACTCGAATCCCGCCGGCCCAGGCTGAACTCGGTCCTTAAAACTACCAAAAACACTATGATACCACCATGACCCCAATGGGCCTCGCAAAACCTCCTCCACAGTAGAAAACCAACATAAAATATACTGGGACCAGCCCGGTCTCCCCGCACCAAACTCCTAACTGCCCATCCCTTTCCTAGCAGAACCTTTCACCTTCCTTCTCCCCTTCGCGCCCCCTTCCACCACCAATACCTTACCCCGAGACACCGGGACTCCAACCCTCCCCTGAGCCCCCACCTCACCATCGCTACCATCACTGCTATCAGCACCGCTACCCGGGTCCGAGACCGACGAAGCCACCGACAAAGGAGGTCCTTCCCTCTTCTCCCCCATCTCCTCGACCCTGGTCGTCAGCTTCCTCACCAAAGACATAGCCGCCCCCGCCTCTGCCTTACTGGCCTCGGCATCCCTCTTGGCGGTCACCAGCTTCTTCTCCAACACCCTCACCTTCTCTTCCACTAAAACCCGTCCCGCGAGCACCCCCAAGCGCTCGACGAACTCCGCGTCCCTCTTCCCCATCGCCACCCTCTCCCTCTTCTCGGCCAACCGCGCCCTCGTGTCAGCCTCCACTACGGCCACCTCAGCCACATGGGCTCTCTCCAGCCTCTCCTCCGCCGCCCCCCACGCCACGGCCACCTCTTCGGCAGCCACCTGTGCCCTCTCCTCTGCCCGGGCCACCCCCTCTCTTGCCTCTCTGCTCAGCATAGAGTTCTTCTCCACCTCTTCGCCCAGCATAATTGCCAGGCTCTTGTGCTCCTGCTCAGAGGCATGTAGCCTCTTTGCTAGCACTGAGATGTGGTGTCTCAGTTGAGATACCTCTTTCTCTAGCAAGAAGTTCTTCTCCACTGTAGTCGTGAGGACTACCAACATCTGGGATGCAGTAGGTGCTGGAATCTTGGATCCTTTAACAGCCATCGTGTCTTGGGACTTGAGGAAGGATAAAGGTTTGATCTTGGATGATGAAAGTGATAAGAATATCACGTAAATCGATGGCAAACCTAGAGTAGGAGTCCCTAAAGTTTAAAGACCTGAAGCCGAGCTTGAATTTTGTGGGGAGAGATAACTCAGATCCCCTGGCCATGCCCAGACAGATCTATGAAGCACTGTACTGGCACTTGAGTGTATGCAGTACAGGTACGGTACCGTACGCTGCACGCTTCGGGTCCTCGCATGATATGATACCAACGTGCGTTGCTCGGCCAAGCGCACCCACTTGACCCGGCTTTCAAGCCTCAGCCAAAAGCCCCCGTCACTCAGCCACACATCCTACCCGTTGAATATCCCGGGATGGAGTGATGGAATGTGTGTGGGATGGTATTGACATGCTTTCTGTATGAAACCTTTGTGCCTTCCTGCACAATGAGACCAAACTTGTCAAATGGCATTTATAACTTTCCAGGGATCATGGATTATTACCAGGTATGTGGTGGCCATAGTAAAGGGTCTTGACGCTCCATGAGCAGAGCTTGTTGTAGATTTTCAGGAACAGAGCGATTTGCGGTACCGGATTCGTATCGGAGTGGGCCCCTAGATAAGCAAAGGAAGCCCCTCAGCACATCGTGGCCCCTGTGTTTGGTGGGAGAATGGATTCGGAGACACACTACCGGTATGGAGCGGAGCGGCTTGCTCGATATGTTTGTGGATGCCTTTGTCTGCGGCCGGTAGAGTGCTGAACACTAGCTTAGGGTATCGTGTATATCCGGAGCGTGAGTTTTGGGGAAATGAGGGTCCCTGAGCTCCGCTGCATGCGTCTATCTTTTGCATACGCTGATGCTCTCGCAACTCACGAGACAATTGAACTATCCTTCAAAAGTGTGTATATTTTGGTTTAACCCTTCACCGCCCAAATAAAGATACACAAGCGGGTTCTGAGATATTATCCTGCTATTCGCGCTCTTGGCCTATTTCAGGAGCTCTCCCAGAACTTGGAGGGATTGATCCCTATAGCTGGTTGATTACGGTTCGCATCTGTGATGAAAAATCGGGGCTTGAGTTCAAAGTTACTCGCTCTTGGGGACACAGATTGACCTGGAGCATCGACAACTGGCATTCGGCACTGTGCTCCGTCGAATATAGTGGGACGGCATCTTTGATACAAGATTTGAATGGAAGGATCCTACTGTAAATCTAAGGGATTTCGTGACACTGATTGAGAAATTCTCCTATGCCCCGGGGGGACGGAGGCTGTGAAAGTATGGCACGGCGAAGTGCTCATATTTCGCAGCTCTACAGCACAATTCCCCCCTTCCTGCTGGGCCGTTCCTCAAAGGGATACATAGCAGTGATTAGGATGGACTTCCAAGCGCGGTAGCCGGAAAGGCAATGAAGGAAGAAAGAAACCCGGGCTGGCAGTGGCAAAATAGTATATTATATGTGCGAATTTGTAACCCAGCGCTAAAACATCAGAGATCAATTGCACCGGTGTGATGCTACTAGATAGAAAATATGCATATATTTCTTGATCGTGCCCTATCGCTTTCCTGTTCTTGCACTCGCTGATATTTCTGGAAGTATTGAGCCTGCACTAACTTACAAGTAGCGTATAGCCTTATTAGATTTTGCAAACCACTCTCGTCAGCTCTCGGATATCTATCAAATAAGTGAAGCTTCTGAAGGCCAAGTATAAGTACCCCCGCTGTATGCCATAGCAGAGGCCTCTACTATCGCATTCTACCAAAAGAGGAAACTGTGTGGTCCAGTATATCTTTCGACTGCAGGTCCAGGATTCCTCAGCAAAAGTTACAACTCCAAGTTCACACCCTTGCGCACCGAGAAGGCCTCAATAATTTCAACATATTCGACCGATCGGGGAAGCAATCGCTAAGAGCTCGTTCTCCGCAACTGACTGGATCTATCTGACCCTCTAATCGGACCCCCTTTCCGCACACCGGTATCCGCAATCCCCGGCCAGGCACAGTACCCTCGGGCTATCTCTCACGGCGCTCTGTTTTGCTCAGGTGCAGATATTCAAGCTTTTTACAGCACCGGGTTCGGGGCTCCCGTTTCAGAGACCGGAGCCCGGGCATGGCATCATATTTATCCACTAGATATATCCCACTGCGTACAGTACGTACCCCATATCAAAGTATTTGGTGAGAAGGCCAAGGGTGAACTACGAGAGAACGAGGGAGAAAACTAAGATATAGCATCTGGCATCCCATAGGCGGTACAGTAAGCCGGAAACTCCATCTCCAGACCGACCATCAAGACGCCCACATAACTGTGCCGGGATCTCATTAGCGGTCTAAAAAAAGGCTTTTGCTTCCCTGATGAGAATACCGGTGGCTAACGGCAGGCGTCGACTATCAAGCTTTACTTGAGCATTCGTCGACTCGCTACTTCCTGCAAGCGATTACCATCGTAATGATTGCCCTTCTTGGCCTATCTACCGGTATCGTCAACTAGTCTCGACTGGCAAGGCCGGGCTGGAGTTGAATGCGAGCACTAGAGCCAGAAATTGATCGGTTGGCTAATCAAGTAACGGGATACCCAGTATCAGTGGCCTCTTCCTGGCTCATAATCGTCAGAGTGTTCGACTTCAGTTCCGCCGCGCGGGTAACTTAAGTTTCCGTTGCGGTACGGCAGTTTACCAGACCAAATAGTCGACAGGGATCGAGACGAATCAAGCGGTTGTTGGAACGGGTGGGGTATCATAAAATGGGCGCCTGGCACCGGAAGTCTGCCCTAACAGGGCCCGACAGCCTAGCTTAGTAACCAGGAATCGGCAAACTGCGAGTTTAGGAGGATTGAGGATCTCCCGCCGACGTTTCCCCAAGCACGAGAACCGCATCTGCAAGAACCCGACCTTGCCCCGTTAGATCCTCTCCAATCGGTTTCTACCTGGCCTATTGCGGCAACAATGAATCAAGATAGGGAGTCTCAAGATAGCTCCATCGAGAGCGGGCATCACCAACCGCAGCACCAGATTCAATTGAGTCCGCCTCCCTCACAGCAAGGCGGAGGCGAGCTAAATAGTGGAGGTGGAAGCTCAGGTAGTGGTTCCAAGAGGAAACGGGTTTCTTTGGCTTGCAATGCCTGCAGAACGAGGAAGTCGAAGGTGTGAAAAATATTTGCTTTAGTTTTTGGCCATAGGGATAGTTCCTGTTGTACCCGTTAGAGGGCTGGTCAATGTCAATCGAAATCCGGAAGGTTTGGACGAGAAGCTTACCCACAAGACTGTGTACCTAGTGCGATGGGGTTCGGCCAAAATGTTCAATGTGTAGAGGCAAGTCGATCGATTTTATCTGCCTTTTGTTATCCGGGCGGTTACTTGGGGAAGTTATGTGTTAACATGCATCATGTTTCAGACCTGGATTTCGACTGCGTTTATCAGCAGAGCGCTTCTTCTTCGAATACAATTATCGGAAAAGAGTATAAATGCCTTCTTAGCGATGCGAAATCTTAGTACGGTGGTCTGCAAGTTCTAAATTTAAACCTCACAGTTACATTGGCCGCCTCGAGACTCGGTTGCTTGCCGTGGAAAACCTTCTAGCAGCGCAAGCCTCCAAATCTCAACTTCACAGCTCACCTTCCACACTCACGGCCCCGAACCGCGACCTTGACGATGACGCACGGAACCGGCGCAGTGTTAGCACTGACGGTCCACCTTCAAAACGTGTCCGGATCGAAGGGTCGTACACACCGAGCTTAGACGCAAATAACGGGGAGACCTTCGTGAACCTTAAGCTAGGACAATTGGAAGATGAATCAAGTGCCCAAGATACGGTTCTTGACGGCATGGGCGCCCTGAACCTGGGGGATGAAGAGGATTATGGCTATTTCGGTAACTGCAACTGCACGACACACCTTTCAGTTGTTCTAAAAAATTTGTTATTCAGGTCCGTCATCGAACATAGCCTTCATCGGGCATGTCACCCGCGCCCTAGCAACATCTGTGAGCGTGACTACAACTCTCGCGAAGGAGTTTCGCCGCACAGATTCTACCCTAGAATCCTCCTCTCGTTTCATCTCTCCTCATAACTCGCCGGCCCCATCGACTGGGGGTGAACTCGATATTCGCGCAGGGAATGTCAATATATATGTTCTGCCGCCTCAAAAGCGTGTATTACACTATGTAACATTGTATTTCCAAAACACTAATATCCTATTTCCATATCTGCATCAGCCCAGCTTCCTAGAGACCTACGAAGAGGCTTTGAGGGATGGATTTTCAAAGGTTCGGCGAACATGGCTAGCTTTGTTGAACCTAGTTATGGCGATGGGCAGTAGAGCTAGTACAGAGACGGGTATTAGCGCCGAAGAGAAATATACGACTGCTGAGGTGTTTTATCAGAGAGGGTTTGGTTTATGTGATGGTCATTTTCTTAGGCTTGCAAGTTTAGATTCGGGTGAGGCTTCAGAAACGGTCTCTGGTTGGTCAACGGAACTAATGGCGAATAGTGCACTTGCTGCTGATGATGAGCCATTATCTCCAGAGCACGCGGAAGCCAAATCAGTGTTGGACTACGCACGGGTTAGCTGTACGAATAGCATTACAACTTGGGCTACATTCTAATCAAGCCTTGCAACGGTTCCCGCCCTTGGAGAGGGAACTGAGGAAAAGAGCTTGGTATGGTTGCGTTTTGCTAGATAGGTAAGTGGCCTGAGTGGCAAGATTTCAACTCGACACCACCACTGACCGGCCCACGGAACCTTATGCATGACTTTTGGCCGGCCTTCTTCAATAGCAACGTACGCAGAAAAGCTGGACCTGCCATTGGACGTTGAAGATGATGTGTTCAAGACAAGCATGTCACCTGTTCCGGTTCAGCCGTCTACTCCCACATCGGTCACCTTCTTTATTATTTCTATGTGAGGACACCTCTTCATTCGACCTTGCATTAGCTAATCGGAAGCTTAGAAAGCTATATACCCTCCTAGGTATGATAATTGACACGCTATATGGGGGAAATCTCGGTGGCAGGGACCAAGTAGAACCCACGTTCGCCGATGTAGCCCGTGTCGCAGAGATAGAGGAAAAGCTCTCTACCTGGCGACAGCAACTCCCAGCAGCGCTCAGTATCGTATCTTCCTCAGATATCCCAAATGGCGGCGGCCCGCCGAGCAAGTTTTGGCGGCAAAGTATCATATTGTCGCTTCGCTACTACAACACTCGAGCACTCCTCCATAGGCAGTTTGTTGTCAAAGGACTAAGCGAGATTTGGGGAGGCGGGCCGAGTACTAACAAGTTTGAGGGCGATTTCTTTTGGAACTTTGGATGGGCTAGCATCAAAGTGTGTGCGGAGAGCGCGATTGAGACGGTAGAGATCATACACAAAGTGAAGTATCGCAGCGATCTTCTTGGTTTTTGGTGGTTTACTCTCTACTACAGTACTTCTACCACAACCATTCATTTGGGAGAGAGTCTAACATCATGAAACAGCATTCAACGCGAGCCTGGTACTTGTATCAAAGGTCCTTATTGTCAGTCAAGTTCGCCAGTTAGCGCTCCGACCGGGCTTTGTCCCGGAAACTGCCGGTTTACTCAAACATCTGGAGATGGCCATGGAAACTATTGAGGTGCTAGCGGCTGGAAACAGAATCGCTAACCGCTGCCGCCTTTTCCTCGAGAACCTCATGCGCTACGTTGCGCCTCTTGGTTTGTTCTCCCCTTCCATTCACTCTAACGGCCCGCTAATCCGCACTACTAAAGCAACCTCTTCCCCCCGCATAGTAACGTCGATGTCCCAGCCCGCCCAACTGCCCGATCGTACCAGCACTGATACGCCAGAATCCTCCACCGTGCAGAATGAACCACCACAAGACCCATACCAAGGTTCGATTGAGGATTTACAGAAGTCGCCATTCCGCACACAGCTAGGGGAGTTTATGCTGGAGAGCGATTTCACGTATCTAAATTCCATCCTTCCACCGCTGGCCATAGGTGGTATGAGCGGCATGGAGAACGGTCAGCCATCCTCCAGCGCATACGTCCCTAACGGAAGCGACTACGCGCACATGAGTTTCGGGGCCTAAATTTAGTCTCCCAATATCACACCTTTCCCTCCTATCTTATACCTTTCACACTCTCCTTATGATTTGGAACTTTTCTAGTCTCTGCCGTTGAGCTTAGCGGCATTTTCGGACGGAATGCTTGTAACGTGTACTGTAGCTATCGCTAGGGAATCAAGAATGAGCTATAGATGTTTTGCGTGTCCATGTGCCAAAGCTTTCAACATTAGAGCCGAATATTAGCGAGATCGTCCGCCCTGGTGACATGATTCTCGCTTAGGGTAACATCGCGAGCGTCTTGAATGGCCTGCGAGAGGTTCCCGGGGTTGAGCCACACGCTTTCTTGCCGGCGGGTTGGTTGAGATAGGTAATTCGTGCTGGTTGGAAGAACTCTTGTTGATTATTGTGCATCCACAAGCCTTGTGAGAACGAGCGTTGACACCATCTACAGAAGGAGCTAGCGCTACATTTGATGGGTATGACGAAACCTCGTAAAAAAAAAAAAAAAAAAGAATCTCTCCCGCTCTGGATTAACCTATCCTACTCGATCCCGAAATTTTGCGAGTGATGCACTATGCAGTTGATATCCTCTTCCTCCCCACCTATAGGCCTTAGAGAGCTTTCACAACACAGCTTCCGGTCCAGGGCTACTGTATTCTACCCCGTAGTCATCAGTATCCCATCCCCTCTCGCCATAATGCTTCCCCAGATCCCGTGGCGGCCATCATACCCTAAGTGTGTCCAGCCCTATATCATACCCTAGAGTCCCCAAAGCCTAATTGGTCACTACTGGTCACTCGTGGTCACCAGCTAAATTATGATACCCTCCCGCGTCCTCTAACCGTTTTGCAGTTGTGCCGATATCATATAGGATCACTCCATAGGTGGGCGTCAGATGCTTGGCCACCAGGATAAACCACCGCCACTATTACCGCACCGGCAACAGCATTTCGTGTGGACCGTGACGAGCAGGATCCAAAAAAAGGATATGTAACCCAGATGTGATATTCTACTCGAAGAAAAAACTATGGCAGATTACTGTTTCGTATGTATTGTATTTCCTTCACTCCTTCCTTCCTTCCTTCCTTCCTTCCTGAAGGGGGGAAAGAAAAAGAAAAAAAGCAGCCATATGTACCCACCCCATATCCCCCCATGCATTCACCCCGTCAAACGGGGGTCCAACCTATCAAAAAATACAAGGGAAAAACAAAATCGTACACCCCGCCAGCCAATTCGACATAACGCCAAAACGTACAACCCCAACCCCGCCAGCCAAGTTTATCCACAGCATTATGGAAGAAGAGAAAAGAATAGAGGGGGGGGGAAATAAAGGTAAAAACCGGTGGCTTATATGGACCTCCGAATAGATCTCCTCTCGCCCTTTGCGTCTGCTCCGCGAATTTTCTTGGCTCCGGCGGCCTGGCATTGTAGGGTTAGCGTTAGTCTGGATAACTGCCTCCTCCGATCCGCGCGCGCGCAACGGGGGGAAGAAGGAACATACCTTAACCCTTCTCCTAGTTAATGTTCCCTCAACCTTCAATAGCGCGCCCTCGAGCTTATCCGTGAGGCGTGGCTTGCGCTTGTGATGGCGTGGCTTCTTGGTCACGCCGGCGCCCGTGCGGCGGCTTGGTGTCTTTTTCGCGGTCGGCGCGGATTTGGGGGTTGCTTTTCGGTTCGTCTTTAAAGTTGTTGCGGTGGTGGTGGCTTTGTGGGGGGTTTTGGTCTTGGAGCGGGTGGTGTGGGCGCTTGAGCGGGTGTTGTAGGCCATTCCGATTTCCCTTTCTCCTTGTTCTGGTTTTGCTATCGCTGGTGAGGGCTATGGTGGTAAGATGGCGGTGGGTGTGGGAGGTGGGGTGTGTGGTAGTTAGATGGGGTCTTTCTTTTCGAAACTATTATAGGCGCGAATGGTGGGAAGGGGAAGAGGTTTTCGGGAGAGGAGGGATGGGAGGGAAAGGGAGTCGGTGCCTTTTTATATTTCGAATCCCGGGGCATTTCGCAAGGGATTGTGTTCTGTGCGTGCTGGAGATATATCACAATGCGCTAACTTATCATACCCGCTTACCGTAACTCGTAGGGTAAGTTAGTTGGCTATTTCCACTGTGCTATCTAGGATATTGTAGGAAGGAAGTGCGAGCGGTTGGATTGAAAACGCCGCGGTCGCAAATCCCCTCGACATCGGGAACTGCGATCGAAATATGGGCCTCAAACGTCATCCCTGTTGACTGACCAAGTCATGCCGAAGAACGTGTAAGTGAGACTCCCCTTACAATACTCGTACGGTACTATCGTGCCGGCACTGCACCGATAGAGAACTTTCTCATAAGGAAAGTTGGGGAGGAAAAAATGGCATTTACTAAACAGGGTGTCCTCTAGATGAAGTGATTGGTTGCTTTTTTTCTTCTTCAAGACCTTGCGGTGCGTGACGGCGTTCCAGAGGCAGGGATGGAGACAAAACCATCATGTGTGTCTGGTAGAAGTGCTGTACGGTACCGTACTGTTCTTAGGGGCTTCACTTGTAGCTACTGTGTTTTATTTTTTTTATCTTTATTTTTTGTTATTTCCCTGAGTCCCAGACAGCCGAGTGTGATATCCATATCATGGGGAGAGGAAGGGGGGGTGGAGGGGTGGAGTTGGTGGATCGCTTGTCCGGCTGTAGATAGGACGGCAATCTTTACCGTCCCCAACTTACATTATTACCTTGCAGTGCGCTACCTATCATCATGTCGCTCAGTCCTCAAGTTCGCCGGTGCCGCACTTTATCTCCGTCCACCATATCTATCCTGTCCGACTTGAATCCAAGGTGGAAAGGTGAATACTGACTGACACATCAGCGTTCTCCCCCACGATTCACTTGCCAACTGTGCCTGCCTATCCGGCCAAGAATCCGGAGTCATGGCTGAGCGGGCGCCGGAAAGTCCCCGCCAATTTGATCACGCTTAGAACTCTCCAACGCCCTGCGTTTGATCATTTCTACGTACAATACTGTACCTCCTTCCCTCCTTCTTTTCCCTCCTTCCCTCACTTCCCCAGTTACCACACGGCGCTCGTACAGTGAGGCACCAGCCCGATCGCGACCGCGAAAACGACCCTCCGAGCTATTCCTCGGATGTCAGACGGTCATCTCCTAAGCGATGCCCTATCCAAACTCTTTCATTATTGCGGTATTTCAAGGGAGAAATGTGGGCCCTGCAAAATGAACCCTGGTGGAACTAAGGACTGAAATAGGTCGCCTGAGGTGGAAAAAACCAGCTCACGTCACAATACATCACTCGAGGCCAACACACGCATCCTGATTTGTGGATTGATCCGGCATTTTTCCGCATGACTTGGCACGAGGGCGAATGGGGTGAACACGCATAGGTCCACGGATCCGTCCCTCTTCTCTTCTCTTCCCTCCTTTGCTATGGCGCTCCTGGAATTCTACTAGTTAGACTCGAACGAGAATATGGTGCCGGGCGGTGGTATTTTGCCTTTTCCAGGTTGCCCCTTGCCTAACTGGTGTTGCGGACCTTTCGGTAGATGCTACTTTAATCCCCATAGCGACCCAAGGAGAAGGTAGAAGACACGGCTAGCTAAACCGCAGGATGCTCTAGGAGCGGGTAGGAGAATGGGCGAACTACAGACCTAGTTTTTGTCGTCTCCAACTCCCAAGAATGACTTTTGACAATTCGGGGGCCACGCCCTCCGTAGTCCATCTATGAGACAATTACTTCTGGGCAAACGAGTGGAATTAGTTAAATCGCGACGTATGGGGAGGAGGCCCCGGATCTCCGTTCTAACCCCATCAATACGATACCGATGTAAGCGCCGGCTTCCAAAGCCATCACCAGCTGTAGCGACCGTTTGGTGGTTAACTCAGCTCTGTTTTTCAAATAATTTTAGGTTTTTGCGTTTCGCAGCTGGGGCTGGCACATGCCTCGCTTCGAATCGGTGCTGGTTTCAAGAATCGATGAGTGTGAGCCACCTACGTGGAATGCTTGACAAGTACCATTCCCAGCCCTCGTCTGTCGACAGACAACACTCTCGAGGTGTTTTTCGCTTCCCTAGCCACTTGGGCGTCCTCTGCGAGGGCAAAGGCAACTTTTCGAAACGATAGCGGGTTCTCTATGATGTGTCTCCGCGTAGCACATATTCTTAGGACTCCAACAATCTCAGTTCTATCCTACACAGCAGAAGGGCTCTTCTATTGATCTCGCGGGCAAGTAAAACCCAAGGCCCAGAGTCCTAGAGGAGAGGAACGGCTTTTGTTATCATGCCAAACGTGCATACTAAAATGCTCCTGGTGGTATCGTGAATGTCACTCTGAGCTTGCGAGTAAGGGGTGTTCCTATGCTGTCTCGGTTTAAGGGGACCCCGTGGTGCAATTTCGGGTAGAGCCAGTTCTCTTAGTCCTCCCGTTGTTTCCCCATTCGGCCCCATGACAAAGGCTGCGCTGTGACTTCTCCACCGATACTTTGCTACATTGGCCATCAGATTAGGAAATCTTCCTGGGAGTGCTTGCTCTGAAACTGGCATGGAGGATTTGGATGGGTTTTATAAAAAAGTCCCCGACACTTTTCGCCCAGAGATAAATCACCACTTCCGGCCCAAGGATAGCGTCGGGGTACGCGCGATTGGTAATCCGGTGGAAGATGCAATCGAAAGATTGATGACAGACAGGAAATTCCGTGTCAGAGTTTGGGGACTGCATGAGACTCTCTCCTGGCGGATCCATGGGGTCATATATTAGAGCCCTGTCCGTGCGGACAGCTATAGGAAGGGTTCTGGCTATGGCCCGTGAGATCTCGTCGGCTTAAAATCCATATCATCCGGGAAGTTATATCATACGAATGACACAGAGCTTCCTTCCCTCACAGGAGTTAGGGAACCGATATCATATCATACCTACGGAATCCTGAGTGAAACTCGTGAGGGAGGGTTGACCCTGATCAAAGAGTATATGGTTCCCAGACGCTTAAATAGGAGAAACGAATTAATCTGATATTCTCCCCCCAGTTCGCCTGGGTGTCCAGATTGTGAAATGCTGTAAACAGTTTTGCTTCCTCATCTCTTGCCCCCTCGTTCTCTGCAATTTCTGAGTGCAGCTTCCTCAGCATTTACCCTTACTCAACATCCAATAGAAGCTCGAAGTCCCCTTTTCTCGAGGATATCTCCCAATCCCCAAGCTATAGAACTTCACCGCAACCATTCAGCCTTGCCAAGGCTTCGAAGAGTGAAAGTGAAGGGGATCCCAATAGAGCTCCTCCCTTACCGAGATGGGCTTTCATTGCGGTAATGCATCCGGCTCGAGGAGATGCCCGGCACGTCGACTATGGACCAAAAATTATCAAGGGTGACAGGATGTGGAATTAAAATCGCTCCTGTGCCTTTTAGGCATCGCTACACATGGGCACTTTCTAATCAGCTGGTGCATATTATTCGGGTGACAGATGATATCCGAGGCTTTATGGCCAACATCACGATATATCCACATTGGCTCCTAGCCAGGATAAAATACCAAAATCTCCTCCTAAAACCTCTCTAGCACTAAGGTAACCATTTTAGCTTAGGCCTATTATATAGACCTTCGAACCGGAAATGCCACGGTTAGCGGTACAATGATGGGATCCAACCAGACTGTATCGTAAGCTGTCGCATAGAGGCATTTCCCAACCCAGCTCCAATAGGATTGAAGATAAAGCTACTATGCCATAGGAAAGGTCACCACTCTCCCCACGCTATGGAAAGCTCCAAAAATTCCTGGGGGCAATTGTGTGTGGGGCTGGACGCTCTAGTACCATCTCAGTACCAGCCTCCCCGTCCAGAACCAATTTGGGCAAAGCGTTATGATAAGAAAGGCTTGCGAGGGTAAACTCCATGCACAATCGTCTGATCAACACCTTCGCTCCTGGAGCTTTACTACCCGGTTCCCCCTTCCGTTCTACCTGTGTTCTGCCGATTATCTCTTCATTTTGGGGAGCCATGCCGAACCAGGCTTTTGGATATCTCCAGTAGGCCCGCAAGGATAGGAGAGCATCAGCTCTCATATATGGTTCCGGACAACCCATACCTGCCCTTGCTGCCAACTTGGCCCAGGATTTCTAAATTGGGAACAGGCCCTTCTTGAGAAGAAATAATATGATTTCCTGAGGTGAAACTGTCCAAATGATAAATCAGAATTGACTTATGGTTTCTACTTCCACCTACCGTAAGGGCATACAGGAAGTCGCTGGTGTAGTTGGAATTGGATGGAAGATGTTGCAAATCTCTGTCGGAAAGCCTACTGCGGTCACTGATTCCGAACCCACCTACAAAATAAAAATGAAATTCATGAGGGGCCTCGTGAAGGGTTTCTCCACAAAGTTGCCAAAGGAGTTATCTTGGACGTCTTTTGCGAATGCTCGCCATTCGGCATTTCTGGATTTTCCAAGAACCTACGGAGGAGACCAAGTTATCATAGGTTCTAGTTGACCAGCGCCGCACTTTCTGCTCACAACCGCAGTTCGTGCAAGTGTGATTACCAATATATATGGGCGTCCTAGAAGCCTGGGCGAGGGGTAGAGCACCTAGAGTGTCGAGGTAACGGTCACTATAGCCCAAATAACTACCAACAGCACAGAAACCCCGAAACGAGCAGCTTATGGGCAGCCGGGGATTAGCAACTTTCCACGCATCCTAACAACGATTCAGTACCGCCGCGAATATATGAATGTTCTCAAATGGAAACTGGCATAAGCCTGCGTTCCCAGGGGACCCTATCAAGGAAATATCAAAATGCCCCAAATCTCGAGAATTCAGGCGCTAACTAGGAGCAGGAAGCTAATCATAGTGAGATGCAAACCGGCGATGAAGTTGTGATAGGCCTTCTAGAATTTCTCGGCAGAGATAAATAAATTATCAAATTCATATACCGCTTGTATAGCACGGCGTCAGAGCTTTTGAAATCCCCCCAGAAATTGCTCACATGAGCCCATCCAACTGATAATAGTACCGTGTAAGCCACCCATGCGGCGGGCGATCTCCAAACATGTTCTACCACGCCTTGGGCGAAATGACCCATTAATTTCTCACATGGGCCCACAGAACAATTTAGAGGCAGGCTCCTATCCTCCGAAACTCAGCACCCCGCGCCGTATCCATGAAAACGACCTACGAACCATGCCGCGCGATCTCGAAAATGATAAGCCTACCATTGCGAGAACCCCCGACCCTTTGCGTACTTGACAGGGCATATCGCCCCCCGGGCCGAGCTATACAGTACATCGCGAGTGTTTTCCCGAAAGGAAGTGCTGCCTCGAAATGTGTGGCCTCCTTTGATGAGATACCGCGGGCGAAAGGTAAGATGGATCCCTCCTTGGAATCGCAGATTATGGATCGGAAATGGGGTGATAAGGTGCCAACCGGGTGGTGGTGGATGGGGGGATCCAGACACCCCTCCATGCTTGCACGATTTCGGCACCACCCCCGAACGCAATGGCTAAAGCTACCTGGGAAATAAGGTAACATCTACTAATGCCCTATTCGCCAAGTCCAGCTATATATGACAGTCTGTGCATGAGAGGGCGCAGGAAGCAAAAATTGGCCTACCAGCAGCAATAATGCTTTCCACACCCATAGTGATGGACTAACACCTCTCATGGTGTATAGAGAATTGAGGGGCACAGCGAGGCAAAATGTCTACTCGAATGGTACCCCTCTCTCTAACGCTTCCCAAGCGATGAAGTTCTGGTAAACTGCCATGACGCTGCTTGGCCAGGCACAGATCGGGGAACAAGGACAAGCTGGCAAGTAACGGTTTTATATCCACATAACCAATTATACACGTGCTCACATTGAGTATTCCAAACAACACTTTCATTCCAGCAACGAGCCACGCGATCATACACCGACAAACAGCGGGGGTTATTTTGTGTTTTTTATCCACTATGTCAAAGGTGCTCCCGCTCACACCTTCGTTCCCTCTCCACCCACTTGTGGACCCCACAATTGTTTGCGTTGCTCGCCTACTATACCTACGCAAAAGCCCATTTACCAAGACATCAACCCTATATCCCAACCTTAATTCCTGAACTTGTATACGAGTGGCTGGCCATAATCAACCATCACAACCTTCAACTGCGCAGCAAACAGCGCGAACCCTACCGAATCCGGATGACCAGATATCCAACGCTGAAGGACGATGATACCACTAGACTTCAGGATCATATACCGAAGACTCCTAGCTTATGGGAGGGGACACTAAAGTCATTCCAAAAGATAACTATAGTACATCTAACATCAGAGACGGAAGTACGTCCATGAACGCATTCACTCAAAAATATAGATGCTCTAACGAGTGATTATTTATGACGACTTTCATTCCTATCAAGAAAGCCATCAATGGCCCTAGGCACCACGTCCAAATCTACCGCCTTCACTCTCTACCTCTCGAAAGCTCATTCCCAACGCCCTACACTATCCTCTTTTCCTCAACCATAACCCTCCTAATCCCAAACCACAGCGTAGCGTCGGCGCACATACTGCATGGCATAAGCTAGAGAGGTGAACCCATTAGCAAACCTATGCAGGCCAGCCTTTTCGAAGGCATACACGTCCGCATGTTGTATTAGACTAGCTAGCTGAATGCGAAGGCTGTGAGCGGGAGAGGGTGCAGCCGAGGGGGGTTATCAGGGCTGCACCGATATATAGGAGTGTTGGGTTGGAGAGGGGGATACAATACTGGGACCCCGCTTTCCAAAAAGACGTCTTGCTGAATTCTTCCAGAGATATGGCTATGTCAACTTGGCCATCCATCGAGGTGGAGTCGGTGGTGGGGGTGCTATGAGTGAGAGGTTTTTTGAGCTACGATCAGTGTGGTTCAGGCTTCTACAGGGAAGGGTGCATTGAACTCTACTTCAAAGCCACAGCAGGGTTTACAGCCATTCAATTGGAGTTCATTAGGAATCCTGATTGTAAGGATGGCTAAGACCTTGAAATTAGTGCGGCACCAGAAGAACAGAGACCGCAAGGCACGAGGGCATTACCTGTGCTGCAAGACATGGATTGAACAGATGCCTGTATTGTATCAAACGCAGACATGGTCGTGAGATATTTATGACAACTAAAGTTAAGCGGGATTCAAACAGAGGAAAAAAGCATTATCATCGTAATTTCATTTCCCAATCAACATGAAGTTCGCTAGCAAGGAATTTAAGTATTCTGTTCGATATGTTAGCTCTACCTTTTCGTGCAAAGAATAATGCTAATGGAGAAGGAAAAACGAAAATTACATATCAGATAGAGCTAATAGAATGTCAACTTCAACGAACCGGCTGATTCAAGGCCATGTTCTCGGGTAATACATGCATTTAAATCATCACTGGAATCAAAGGTGGAAATAACGATGAATAGTTGAAATAGGAACAAAAAATATAGCTCACCTGTTAACGCTTATCGCCAAGCCGCGGAAGTACCTGGAGGGGGTGGCAGCGTGCCTGAGCCAAAATCTAGAGTCAGCAAATATTGTGAATCCAAGGCGGTAGAATAATATATCTAAAAAAAAATAACATGTATATGGTCAGACTGTAGTACATGGATATGTCGTTTATACTTCATCTCCCTCCTAACGCTGTACGAAGGATTCCGAAAGTGAAGAAAAATGGATCATCACCCCACATAGTTCATTGGGCCGGAAAGGAAATTCAAGGCTTACCATAGTGATCCTTCTTACACGGCAGATGAACCCCCTTCTCCCTCCGCAAGTACCCCCAAACAACCCCCCGGAAAGGGATAAGAGATAAGAAATGTAGGGCACCAATAACCACCGCACCCACTATTGTACAGTGGGGAGGCTTTCTCAAATAGCGCACACCAATCTCCATACCCACGACGCATCGATTCGAATGATTGACTTGATGACATCGACGCATATGGAGGGTAATCTCCCTCTTTTCCAGGAACCCTAGAGTTGTGAAGCAACAATAGGGGCAGATTTTAGAGGTTTGTCGTCAGGGCGAATCAACACAGTAGAGTAAGATCGATGCAGTCTGGACTTCGTGCAGGGACCAAGATCCGGAGCATCAGTGAAGCGTTGTAGTCATTAACCGATAGGAGAATTGATACCGCAAAGGAGAACAAGCAACCTATTTGAGGATAACTATTAGCATGAGTAAATACAACCGCCAAACTCAGCAAATAGCAAGGATAAACAAGTCAGATATCGAAAGCATGAGTTAAGTCTTCATTGGGTTCAGACAATGTAGATAAGTGTTAAGTAGATCATCATTCGGGCAGGCAGAAGAGAGAAAATGCCCAGACAACTTACTCTGCAGGATTACCGCCCTATGCCAGTAGAGATTGGGCCGGCCGAACCCAATTACCGTAGTCTATGTCTAAAACAAACTCTATACCCCCCAACAAGTCAGTATTATTATACCACTCGGTAAAAACCAGTCTCCGGGCCAATAGCAAAGTAACAAAAATGTCAGGAACCATAACGCATTAAATGGTCACTTCATCGATTAACTCAGAAGTTATCGTTTATATTGTTTTGGGTGATCATCATCCAAAGGAAAGTAGTAAAAGGAAGTCAAGGGGAGGGCAATCGGCGAACCCACAGATTGTTAGTGTCACATGGACCAGGGCCGCGCCAATTGGTCTTGTGTCGGTACAGTAGAAATACCGGTATAGAGCATTGCTGTCAGTTTGCTGCTGATAGAGATGGGGGGGAATGGGCATTGTTGAGATTGCAAATTTTTATAGGCCCAGTCAATGGCAACCCTATGCCCTGTCTTGGCAGCAGTTGTGCCCAAAATTCTCTCGCGCTAGATTAGGCACCTACGAGTGAGATGATATGAACAGGGTAGGCTATCTCCTTATATGGAAAAAATAAGTATGATACCAGTAGGGGGATATGTCACGTATGATACTCTAATAAATTTAGAGCGTTATAAGCTTCTGGGCCTTCCGAGAACGACAAATATCCTTAGTCCCCAGTAGTATCAAATACCTCCTATCCCCTAATAGCACGAATAAGTAAACACCTGGTGCACTTCCTTTGGGTCACTTATCTCTTCAGACCCCAGAGCGCAGCCGTACGAGACAATCCCCGAAGAGGCTGACCGAAACTTGATTTATCATACCAGAGCCTGCCTCAAAGTGCAAATGGAGAACCCTAGCGAAGGCCGCAACTGCACATAGTGCGGCCCGCAGAGAGGCCCACGAAGGGCCGGAATGGAGAGAGCATCTGACGGCCCTATTCCAGAACAGAGGCTGGTTATGCACAATTCCTTAGTAGGTTTAAAACTAGGGCAAACACTAATTAGCCATACTCCAGCAGCCCTGCCTCCTGGTAGCCCTACTTTCCCATATCCATCCAGCCCAGAAGGATAACTCATGTCTTCTTTTAGCGTCTCCGGGCCTTGGTTCAAGGCATGAGAATATTAAAGGCGGTTTCTATCGCTCGATCTAGTTAGGTTTATGCACCTGGATGGAGTGCATAGAAAATCGGCTCCCCATCGCCCGCATATCGGCATGGTGGGAATCTACAGCGTTTCTAAGTACCGGCGCGCGTACAATGGATATGATGCTACGGTACGTCTCCAGCACCCCCCAACACCCCAATAATATTATTATATCAGACACTTTCACCTGCGCTTGATCCCTAGCCATCATGGGATAAACGACCACCGAAGCCGCAACAACCTCTACATGAACATGTTCTATTGTATTTATCGGGCCTACCGATCTGATCCGTAATTAGCTAGCTATATGAATTTCAAGTTATCATAGAGGCTATACGCCAATTTTGCAATCCTCGTATTCGGTGAGGGAAGGCTCTAGCCGGGACCCGACCCAGGTTCATGCTGCGGCGAATTCGATTACGAAGTCCACATTTCAGTCCACCCTGGCACATCTCCAGTGAATACCGGTATAGTAAATGGCTCCCCCGCCGTCGCTCCTTTCCCGCTAACCCGTGAGACTTTGGGGCTTCCGGGGGATACCTTGCACAGTAAGTTCATCACAGGTGAGGCCCGCACTTGCTGGCGCTGCTAGCCTTGTTAATATCTGCTGCCGCTCTCATGGAATGCAATCGGAAACAAACTCCAAATTTCCTTGGAGGTTGTGTTGCGAAATAGCCACCAGTTCAAATCATTATCAGATGATCAAAAATAAACAATGAAAATGCAGACAGCCCTTCCTCTCATTCGGGCATACCATGTCAGGTAGAGGGAGCCGGCCGTAAATTGGATTGAAAGAAGCCCCGTGCAAAAGATATATCAGTATATCGGCGAAGAAGAAAAAGAGAAAGGAAAAGATCCTAATCACTCCTACACGCCTTTTCTTTTCATCTATGTTACCAGTATCATGCGGTTCTAGACAACCAAAACCTACCCTTCTAGCTAACTTAGTCCAAATCTCTAAATTAGAAACAGGGTCCTGTCTAAAGGGTGCAATAGGCTTCCTCTGGCGCAATTATTCGACTAATAAATACCGTAGGAGCCGATCTATGATTTTTATTTTCACACAAGCCACGGAGAAAGTAATTATCATGGCCCACGCTGGAATAGAATGTACTAGTATTATAGAGTACCCAGTACGTTTTTATCAAAAAGCCCATTGCAACGTTATTCAGGGCACTGATTTCAAACTCCTTGGCAGGATCATAGTACGGCAAAAGTAAAAGAAGCTTCGTAAAGGCGCCCCTTGCAAAATTACCAGAGGAATTAAGGATTCTTCCTAAATTCCGATAATTCGGATTTTCTAAGAGCCCTGGGTGGAGGGCAGGGTTGGTTCCACATTGTGCTTTCTTGAGCAAAAAGACCTAGCTCCATGAATAGTCTTGGCGCCAAACCTGCATCCCACTATGACCCCTCATTTGATTTACTTCCCTCCTCCTCTCACCACACCTCATCCGAAAAACAGCGTACCTGACTTGGTCATAACACTGATTCGCTCCCTTCTTCAAGAGCTGCTTCAAAATAAGGATACGAATTAATAAGGCTCGCGCATCATGGGTAGGTTCTTTCCTGTGGGTTTGTGGTGTGCGGGGGGATCAAAGCTAATGGCGGGGTTTGCAGCCAATTTCGTTGGAGTTGCGAGTATAAGCCCCCGAATCCTACTTCAAATGATGAATGCCTTTAGGACACTTCACTGATAACGCTTATTCACAGCTGAGTTTGCTACCTGGTACTATAAAACCATTGATGGGACGGATAGATCGGGGCTCTCCGTCGTCTATGTTAGCTCTTCTCCTTGTGCACTTCTTTTACCTTGCGAAAACTAACACAGACTAGAGACCTCACTCCATGATGACTTTTGAGACCAATCAAGTCCAAGGGGTCGGAGCTATTAAGGAAAAGCTTATTGTAGGACTAGTATTGCTTCCCGAATGTGTTATAAATAACTGACTTAGTGGTATAGTCTCTACCTTTTCAGAAATTGAATCATCAGATCAGTACTCTCGATGCCCACCCCAGTGGGGAATCCGGCAGCATAATTGTTCTGATCACCGGGCAGTTGCTGGTTAGTTTCCGCCTCGTTTCTTTAACCGGCTTTCTGGATACTCATGAATAATGGCGGACTCTTAGATCGATGACAACGAACACCCTCAAAAATACTCTCAGTGTTTCCATCTCGTGCCCGAGGGCGGCACCTACTATGTTCTCAACGATATATTCAGACTTATCTATGGTTAAGCTCAGAGCAATGCCTTCCTTCTCCCTCAAAACCATAAATGTTCCACTTATTCCCTGCGTTTCGTTTCGCTCTCTTTTTTGTTCCGTTTAAGGTTCGTTTCTCCTGTGATACTTCTACCCCCCGATTTCCGGGAAACAGGTGTCGTGAGGCAATGCCAGAAACAAATTCCCTTGGTACTTTCGTAGGTCCCCCTACCTAGCCTATTGCGACCTTGTTATTCTATGGCGTTGTATCATACCAGTGGGGAACCCCATTTGATAGAAACTTTTGTTTCCTATTTCCTACCTTCTCTCTCTCTTTCTTTTTTTTTTTTTACCCCCTAAGACAGTATCTATCTGGGACCTCAGGAAGGGAGTAGTCATGGGTTCCGGCCAGGAGGAGAGGAGGAGAGAAAAAGTAACTCTAACCTGCGGGAATAAATGTTTATCCGTTCTAAGAACTATCTACTGTACCCAGGCATTGTGCCCGGTTACCAGAATACGTATGGCAAGGGCAGCCTGCTGGGGAAGAGATATTTGATGTAGGGCGTGGTACATACCGTAGCCCGTCGAAGATATTCGCGATTTTCAAACCAAACTGCCACACGACGTGTCTGTATTGAGTGGGAGAAACACTTTAGTCAGAGTAAAACAATTTGGGGAGGAGCAAGTACGGCATGATACCGTGCACTGACTGTAGAGCGCATGTGGAGATAAACGGAAGGAAGAAGCCGAGAGAAATAGTAGCGCCGCCTTAGAACGTGAGCGAAATCCTAGCTGTGAAGTGGTAGCCACGCTGCAAGCTCGTGCCCATACCGTGCCTGTACTTCGTAGTTTGAAATTCCCTGCTCTGCTTCCATGCCCGGCCGAAACGCAGAGTGAAATGGTGGGCTGAACGCTTGGATTTTGTGGTATGTAATTCGGAGCCTGCGTCCAGAACTCGCCCCATATTTCGGAGGAACAGTTTCTAGTCGACCAAAGGTTCGGAAAGGGTCAACTCACAGGGAAAAATTGATTGCCGTACCCGTACTTTATGACATTGTGAACGAGAAGAAGTCTGGCAGGTGGGATAGCTGCCAAGACCCTTTAGCCACAGCCTTACCTCTTACAGACCTCACTCGAGAAGTGAGGCTTACGAGAGCGCCCAGCCCAGCATCGAAAGGAACACGAGGCACAATCATCATCGCAGGCCGGACTGACTTTTTTTAAACTCAAACCAACAAACATACGTACGCCATCGCCCGTCACCATCATCCACCACCCATCACTGCTCCTTCTCCTCCTTCGCTCTCCCCTCGCTTTCTCCCCCGACCACTCAACTGCCCGTTGCGAACGACTCTACGATAACGAGCACTACGAACCAAACATATAGACTTTCCCCACCAGGAACGTGATAGAAACAAATCTGCAACGATGGGGATCATGGAGAGTATCGGATCGGAGTTTAAGACCAGAAACTTTAGTGAGTTGCCGTGCCCTCATGATTTTCGATAAGTTGGTTTGAGCACGACGGATGGGATGGGGCCAGATATGAAGATCGAAGCTGACCGGAAATGTGTGTAATGTACAGGTATATACGGTCAATGGTTAGAGCCTCCCCATAGACAGAACACGCAGGCAGGGGACGGTTCGCTGATTGAGTGAAATAGGACGGGTATCATAGCGATTCTACTTTGTATCGCCGTCGGCATCGCAAATGTTTTCCACGCTTCTCTACTCATTATCTTCTCGGTCATTTGCTTGTTAGTTGTCCGGTGCTATTCATCCTCCTTTATAATCTTGGTTTGCTAACAAATTTCTGCCGCTTGTAGAGTTTCCGGTCTCCTACTTATCTTCATCGAAATCCCATTTCTTCTGCGTATTTGCCCAACTTCAAAGAAATTTGACGACTTTGTTCGCAAATTCCACTCAAACTATGGACGTGCCGGTATCTACTTGGTTATGGCCACTATCCAGTGGGTCAGCATTGTTATCGATGCGTCTAGTTTGATCGCTGCGGCGGTAGTCTTGACCTTTGCTGGCGGTTTTTATGGTTTGGCTGGCCTTAAAGGACAAGAGTTCATGGGAAGCAAGACATTGGGCGGAGCTGGCGTCGCACAGATGATAGTTTAAAAAGAGACGGAAGGGTGCTTTATGCAGAGGAGGCATTCGGAGCAGGTGGTAAGGCACTGGGAAAGGTGTCGTGTAAAACGTCAGGAGATGAGCGGATATTCCTTCTCATGAGTGTGGACGGGATTCATTTTTCTATTTCGTTTTTCTTCTTTTCTTTTACGATGGGACATGGATTCTTTTTTCTTTTTTTCTTTCTCCACCGCTTCCCCTACCCACCCTCCGGATCACTCAATGATGCGTTTTAATGAATCAGTGGGATAGCTTTTGTCGGTTTCCTTTCGCACATTTTCCTTGTTATGTCCCATAGGTGAGTGGAGGGCACATCTGGTGTTCTCCACACTTGTGGACGGCAGGGAAGGAGCTATCTCTACAATGACGAAAGGAAGGAGGTTCCCGTTCCCCAAAGGTGGCTGTCTCGAGGGGAGAAAAAAAGTTGGGATAGCCTCTAGCCGCAGGAACTTTCTACATTGTATATTTACTTGTATGAGCTATCTTTATGAGTCTTCCGATATTCCTTTCCTTTCCTTTGTCCTCTTCGGTCGAGCAGGTTTTTTCCCTCGATGCAAGACACGTTATTGTACTTTTTCCTTCGTTCTGCCAGGAATACCGCCATGTATTACGGCTCCAGCTATAGAATTTTTGGGCGGAGAGCTCTGCACCCAGGCACCGTACTTGTATTCTATGTCTTAGTATGTCTTTCTAGGTGAAGGTAGAAGTGTTGCCTCGTGTCATATGGAGAGGGACCTCTGTAGTCGGAAACGCGGACATTCATTCTGGCCCAGGAATACCGGTAGTAGCGTACCGTATCTGCTAGACCGCCAAGGGTGGCTCCATTAAAGGCTAACCCCCCGACAATTAATTAGTCCATCTACCGTGTCAACTGTTTTCGCCAAGGAGATTAATAGTACATAATTAACACGTCCCTGACCTTCCCTTGCTCCCATCAAAAGTTTGACCTATCACACCTCCAATTACTTTATCTGCACGCTCTAACGTGTGGAGGATGATCCCCTCCATCAAAAACCTGCCAGTGACTTATCTGTATACTGTGGAGCTGTAATTCTCATCGGAGTGGTTGGGGCTGAGCAATATTTCCCCGGCAGAGCACTCTGGAGATGTCCCCCAGCGCGCGTTAGGTAGGCGACTTCATCATCTCGTATCATACTCCACCGGTGGTATGATAGGCTACCGTACGGTACAGGGCTACGAGCGCCATAACAGTACCGGCACTATGAGTATCATATCATACTCGAGTAGTTACCCCACAATTCAGCAATGGGGGGGTCCGGGCATCACGCAAGCTTCCAAAGGCTGCTTCCAGAAGTAAAACAATGGCCTTGTTTGCAACTATGATTTGCCGCTTGCAGCCGATGATGGATGGATGGGTTCACACCACCCACCCACCACCACCACTCGGGTGCAGAAGCCCTCTTTCGATCTTACGCACCGCTGCTGGTCAAGTGTGAGATCCCTGCTGAGCGACTGGGCTGATGACCTGATCGTGCCCGAGATCCGTTTGGTTGGATGAGGGAATAAGCTACCGTACTGTACTCGAGTACTCTACGAGTAGTAGACTACCGGTATTCCCACCAGTATGTCCCCACTTGTAGGTTATGGGGAGGTGTGTGATGCCGTGCTGCACCGTACCGTGCGAGTACAGTACCGTACAGTGCCCATACCTATAGGACAGCACCTTATGCTACCGGCGGCCTATGGTCTACCGCAGCAGTATGCCTGTACGAGTATGCTCGTATGCATATGAGCAATGAAGATACCGGTATTATGATGGCGGTTTTACTTTTTTCTTATTCCTTTTTATTCTCCGCATAGCACGGGGTAGATGGATAGGACGCACTCTGCGGGATGAGAATGATGATGTGGAAGAGGGGCACGAGTACTCCGTACAGTAGTTCTTTTTTTTTTTTTTTTTTTGTTTTCTTAGTTTTTTTTTTTTCTGTTTTATCCGTTGGGTGCTACGGTAGTGGTGGTGGTGGTCGAAATTCAACTTTAAACCATGCTATGAAGCACCTGTATGAGTAGTCTACCGGACTCGAGCAGAGTGTGATAGCTACCGGTATAATACTGGTACCGCATGTATACCGGTACATCGACTTTGTCGACCCTCTCTCATGGACTTTCCTTGGCGGACAGTGATAGCCTTTCCACCAGGCGGCCGTATCTTGGGGATAATCGTGCCTGTGGGATTGGTTGATTGTTCTGTCCTATCACTCCTCTTAGCCTTTAGACTATCTCCTTTACCCTCTTCCTTTCCCTTCCCTATGTACTCGTAGTACAGTTATCAATCCAGTTCTGGCCACGGCCATCTACGTACCGTATCTTACCACCGGTACCGGTATCATACTGGCGGGGGCCGCTAGCTATCGACCCCTTTTTCATCCCTCTTTCTTCCGCACCCCCCCCAAATCAGTTTCTTTCGTCCCTGGCAATCACTCAGATGGATTCGATGAATGGCAATTGGACGCAGATACGGTAGTCTATTGGGTCGGGATGAAACAGCCCATCCATCTCTCTGGGGACCGCAAAAGATTTGTCCCACTCACTTGTCGACTCGACACTCGAGCTAGAATAGGTTACCGTAGTCAACGTCATGCCTTGCACCGCCCATGCACTTTTTTTCAGCGGCAGCCGCCTACTCCGTAAGGCTCCAGTGGAGAAAGGGAAAAAAGCACTCGTGCGTAGCTTACAACTCACGTACTGCTCCTTCCTCTCACCTTCCGCGAAATGCTTCATCGCTCTTTTCGGTTTCCCTTGTACCGTGTGAGCAAGGGATCAACTATAAACTTGTGTCCATCAAACCGCGAAACTGGTAAAATAGAATTGAAAAAAATGGCGCTGGCCTCATGACTTTTATTGTTCTTCCTTCCGGGAATGGCATAATCTTGGTCTGCTTTTTTTTTTTTCTTCTTCCCCCTACTGCACCCGGATTTCTCTTACATACCTACTCTTACTTAAAGGGCCAGTTCCTGTTCTTTCTTTTTACCCCGCAGAACTCATCTTCTCTTCTCTCCGGATTTCGTGCTCTCTTCCTTCTCCCTTTCTCCCTCCTTTCCTTGTTGTGAAAGGGGAAGAGGAAGACCAAGTTTCAAAGCTTAGCTTCCCCTGAAAGGGTTCAGACTTGTCAACCTAAGCAAACCATCAAGAGGTTAAACTCGCAAAGTTTCCCCCTTCTCCTTCTAGCCATCTTTGCCTTCACTCCTCAGATCCCTCCTTTTTTCTCTTCTTCTTTCTTCTTGTTCAAAAAAAGAAAAAACTACCGCTGGAAAGAAACTCCCTCCTATCATACGTATTTTATACGCAAAACGGCCCCGTCATCATGAGTGCTCCACCTTCAATTCCGCCGAGGCCCTCTGTCCCACCTCGCCCGAGTCCAAAGCCTCGCTCAAAATCACCCCTTGAGCAGGAGGGACCCGCACTGACTACCATTCCGCCCACCACCGAGCTTCACGCTCCTGTCGCAAGGCCCCCAGCACCGAAACCAACGGAGTCAGGCTCGGGCATCACTACGAGTACCACTTTGAAGAACGATTCGGGAATCCCGCAAATTGGAAGGAGAGTACCGATGTGTCCCAATGCGGGTGATGTACAGGCTCCCAGCCCGGCTGTGACGCCAGGTGCGGGGAAGAGGAGTCATGTTTATAGAGAGGAGTGGGAGATGGATGAGGGAGCCTATGGGCAAGGAACACCAAAGGGGATTAATCCGTATAGTAAGTTATTTCCACCTTTCCCCCTCCATTACCCTCTCGTCGTATCCTTATCGCTTTCCCCACAAAGTGAGGGGTGAAATCTTATGTTTAATTTTATTTCTTCACCCGTGTTCCTGAGAAAAAAGAAACAAAGAGAGAGTGGATGGTACAGGTAAGAGGGGGGAAGGAGAAAAGATGTCCTATCATAAAATCTCTGCGTTTCAATACCCGGTTTTAATGTTGATTGTTTCTCAAATTGCCTTTCCTCTCTTCTTGTGTGGTGGATGCAGCGCAGTCCAGTCATGTTTTTAACCGTCAACCGTCAATGTTTTTGCTTGTGCTTCACGTTTTAGCCCATTGTCCAATAGGAGCATTGCTGATTATATTTGTCCTTTGCGCATGCGCAGCCAGGAGCTCCACCGATCTCAACCAATCGGTTGCACAGAGCCCTGATTTAGGCGCTGCCAACGATGCGTCTACTCCGGTTCCCGACGAAGAAATTGGTTATCTAGCCAGCGAGCAGTACGCTCGCGTTATCTCGCCGCAACTAACGGGTGCCTCTTCCACTGGCCATTCACCCGCGTTACGTCGCGGAGATTTGGAAGATGCCCCCGTATCGTTGTACGGCATTGTTGCGAACTCTTCGACAAGCATTGATGAAAAAGATAAGGAAATAAGCATCCATTTGGATGCGCTCCCACATCATGGTGGCGTGTATCACCATCACCACCACCACGATTCGAGGGCTGGGACTAGACCTGGTTCTGCTTTGGGTATGATGGATGAGGAGGAAGAGGAGGAAGAGCACGAACATCCTATCTTGGCCTCCGATGAGGTTCAGAAGCGCAGTGGAGAGTTCATGCTGCCCGCTATCTCCCCCCCTCTCCCGCCCAAGAGGCCTGGCTCTATGCCCAACACTCGGCCTCACAGTGTGGCCCCTACCGGTCCGGGCTCGGTTGCCGACGGCGACGACGAGGACGGCGATATCGAGCCTACCGATTTGCCAAGTAACACTAGGCTCGAATTGCGGGAACCATTGATCGCATTACAGCCTGGAGAAGAGACCGAACCATTGTTCCCCGAAGATGAAGGTGATAGTGAGGATGCGGATACGGAAGAATGTGCCATAGGAGCTGTTGATAAAATTCAAGAGAAGCTAAAACGTCCGGATTTGCCGCCCTCTGTGGGCTCTGGCCGCCGATTTCCCAGCAAAGATATCTGGGAGGAGGCCCCGGACCACGCACAACTCCAGGCTATCGTCTCAACTCCGCCCATCGCAGATCCGGAAGCTCAGGACGATCATAGAGAGGAGGGGAAGATTGCTGAGCGAGCTAGTAGCACCCCGGAATATGTTCAGGGACAACCTCACGATCATTACGAACCTGGCGACGAAAAAGAGTTTGAGCAGTTGCATAAAGATGCAAAGAAGAAAGCGGGGAATTACAGGCACGAGGTGCAATCAGAAGGTCCTGATGAACACCTGGACAGACTTTTAAGGGGGGGCAAGAAGGGTGAAGAGTCTGTTGGTTCTGGAGACAAAAACGGGGTCAAGCGATTCCCAAGCAACGATATCTGGGAGGACGTCCCGCCGAGTTTGCAACTCAGTGCTACTGTCACTCCGTCCAATGACCCCCAGGAAGATAGTACACATGAGTATAAGAGCGGAGCTACAACCACAGGGACCGCCCGACTAGAGGACAAGATCGCTTCTATTCCCGAGGAGGAGGACAATACACGGCCCACAGCCGGAGCGCCCGTTGAAGACCCAAGTACGACAAAAACAGGTTTTCCGGCGAGGAGACCCCAGGCTCCTTCCACCCGTCCTTCAAGAAAAGCGCCTCTACAAACCGGCGATTCAACATCTACATTAAGCACCGCTTCCGAAAACGCGCCAATAAGCCCCGACAAGAAGGCACCACCATCCATTCCCGATCGTCCTAAGCCTAAGGTTCCTGCACGGCCTAATAGACCAGCAACTACCATGGCCCGATCTTCATCAACCGAGTCCCCTTCAACAGCATCGAGCGGGTCCGGTGGTAGTATGGCACCCGGAAATCCACCACCTCCTAGCTCTAAGCCAAAACCCGTCATTCCTCCGAGAACAGGAGGGATTGGTGGAAAGATTGCTGCTTTGAAATCCGGCTTCATGAGCGACCTTGATCAACGACTGAAACTGGGCCCTCAGGCCTCAAAGCAGGTGGAGAAGCCTGCAGACGAGGAAGATAGGCCAGTGGAGGTGCTGAGCGATGTGCGAAAGAGCAGGGCCAAAGGGCCAAGAGGAAGGAAATTACCAACCGCCAAAGAGGCCGAAACCAAGACTGAAACCATGGCCGACCCCACAGCACTCAGGATGGAGGTTGTTGGCGTCTGGACTGTATGGAGTATGAATGAGGAAGGGGTCAGCGTGGGTGAAGAGTCAGCCATTGGCTCTACAGGCGAGCTGGAAATAGATACCAAACCCGAGCCTAAGGCAGAAGGTGAGAAGGAGGAGGCAGTCCCAACTCCTTCGACAACAGCTGTTCCTAGTGTCACCGGCACTGGTCAACAAACGGTCCCTGCGGTAGGTAGGAGCATTGATACCACCATTACCATGCCTACCCCGAAAGCAGGAGAAAAGCGAGAGAAGGACGAGATCCCAGCAGTTATCATCCCTGGTGGTCGACAGACCGGGGATGCTATCGCGGCCAGCGAGGTCCGGGGCGAGAGTGTTGATGAAGTAAAAGGAGAGGATGTTAGAAACACAGTGGGCGATCAGAAAGTTGAGGTTTAGCACGTTGGGCTGCGTGGGTATTTTTTGTTGCAGTTTCTTATTTCTTGCTTTCTTGCCCTCTTGATTCCATTCTGCCAGATTTCCCTGGTCTGCTCTGTTCCACGCTATGGTAGAGAAACAAGGCGCAGTCGATCGTTGCTTGTCTTATCGCCACTCTTTTTTATTCCTTTATTCACTCTTTTCTTTCACGCGGGATATCTCTGGGAGTAGAAAAAACGGGGATAGTATGCGGAATTGTACGCTCGTTTTTTTGGGGGTAGGTGGCAATTGGCACTTTGGCCACAGCAGCTTGTAGTTGTGCTCTGGTAGCCCCCTCGCCCCCCTCCCCTCCAGAGTGACATGGTGTGACACTGGGACGGGCTTGATCTACTCGGCATCATCTATCATCATTCGCAGAAGGGGTTAATCAGGTCGGTCGGTTGGTTGGTTGGTCGGTAGGAACTGGTAGTTGATCCATTGGTGGATCGCCTGAGCCACCGTACGCCGTATGTTGGGTCATTGTGCTCGGATGAGCGCTGGGCCGTTGACAGCCGGGGGTAAGTCAGTTTCTCTTGTTGGTGATTGAAGTGAAACGGATGTTGATTTTGCCGCTTGCCACTGTGGTGATCATATTTTCTTGTTCAAGTTGCGCTGCCCCGTGTTACATTGGGCCAATCCAGTCCGCTTCGCCGATTCTAGAGTAGCCGTATAAGAGTTTTAGAGATTACAGTGATATCATCAACTACTAGTGATATTGAAGGGCAGCTCACTTATTCTACTGTCTGCTAGTTGAGTTGGTCATCTCGGTGACTTGGGATTGTCCTTGCAAATACATTTTATCATACCCTCCTAATTTCAGTTCCTCTAGCTGCCTAAAGGGTGAAATGTGTTCCCAGCTGTCCACACGCTAAGTTCCCGATAAACTCCGCCTATCGTCTCCGACATACCGGTATTACATATTATGCTTGCGGTCATGGTAAGCCTATATGCGGAAATTGTCAAACACAATTATTATTAAGCAAACTCCCAGCATTTTTTTCATTTTTTTCACCAATTTTACTATCATAGTACTCGAGTACAAGTATTTCTCACTGCTCCCTGTGTCTTTGGCCCACTTTCACTCACATTTTGTACTCGAGTAGGCGGCCATTCCCTAAGGCTCCCAGCCAAAATATCGCAGCTTCAGAGCAAAAAGATCACGGTCTTCCAATCTATATTTCCAGGGGGTGAAATTATAAATAGATTCAGTAAGCGCCTAGCTGCATTACTATGACCTTGTGATCAAAAGAATAATAATGACAACAATAATAATAAAAGACTCTTGTTGGTAGTGATGATTCGGCTTGGAATAAAACAATCATTTCCCCGGGCCATGACGGGATCCGTAGCGCAGGGTAACGCAACGCTAGGCAACCTGCAGCAGAGCCTCAAAACCCGAACCCAGCTTTCTCAACACCCACCCTTCAGATTTCCAGATTGCCGAGAGTCAGGAGAGATTTCCCACTGTCCCACCATTCATTACATTTAGCGATGCTATCTCGCAGGCTGATTTCCTCACACTACCCGCGACCGCAGACATTGCGGCTCGCGCAATTAATTTGTACGCACCCTCTTGTTAGATGGGGATAGAGAGAGAGGGGAGGAGAAGGGAGCTGATGATGATGGTGATGATGATGAGGATTAAGCGAATGCGTGTTCGAGTGGTAGATCCAGTATTCGTGCGAGGGCGAAGGTACTCGAATATGCTCAGGAGAAGGGGGGGAATACGTTTGTCTACCTATCTCCTTTAGCTTCGCTTGGAAATGCTAATAACTGAGAGGGGGGGTTAGAGCATACGAGGCCGCGATGGCATTGATCGGGTGCATTGCTTCGGGCGGTGATGTTGCCGTTCAAGCTATTGAGGTAAGTCCCTCAATTCCTCCACTCCCTTCCCTTCACTGTGCTTACGGAAAACGTTAGCTCCTCCGCTATTGCTCCCTCGCCGACGTTTCATTCTTAACGACCCTCTCGCAGCCTCCGCTTCTCCAACCACTCTTGATCCTACTCAAGGAACGAACCCTACATGCGTGCATAGTCGAACTCTTGATGGCTCTTGAAGCTGGTGGTATAGGACTTCCATACGTTTCTACCGTCAGGAAGGTATGCGACAACCTCCGCGCTAAGGGATACGAGCTTTCGGGTGTCCTTTACATGGTACGTTCTCTATCACCTCCACCTAGGGTGACAGGGAGTGCTGACAATGGGTAAACAGAAGATGTACTCGAAATCCGAACTTCACCAGCGCCAGGAACTAGCTTGCTCTGCACAACTACAAGCATGTCTGCGCCGTGGCTCCAAAGAAGACCTCATAGAGGCGAACGGGTTGGTTAAGATCCTTGCAGGAGATCCTCGAACGGGGGGATTGTGGGAAGAGGAGGAGCTCGTGTGGAGTGAGATGATTGTTGGTGTCCGGGAGCAGGTTTCTGCGCTGGATGGGGCACTGGAAGGGAAGATTAAAAGAGAGGTTAAGTATGATGGGTTCCTGAATGTTTGTATCCCCCTTCCTGCTTCTTAAACTTGTTTATGTAGGCTAATTGGCGGGTAGAAACTTGCGCATCTGTTACAGGCCGAGAAGAAGAAGATTGATGAAATTGAGGCGGACGGGAATTTGACTACGGGCCTGCGAGTGGTTAGAGGAGAGATTGAGGATGTGTTGCAAAAGCATAAAGATCTTGTGGTTGGCGAGGGGAGGCGGATCATAGAGGGGGTTTTGGTCGTGTTTTAAGCTATTATACCTGCTCCCGTTCTTCTTCCATTCTTATCGTCGGCATAGTACGGCTGTCTGGGGATTTCTCTTTTTGCGGGTGCTGGTATTTTATGGCGTTGAGGTATTTGCTTTTGAAACTGTGATGAAGTGCTTTGGGACCTTACCATGTATTCATGCCTTCCATTCTTATCTTTTTTCTTCTCTTTTCTTCTAGATGAGATTTCCGGAGTTTGCGCCCAATTGGTATCTTTCTTAAAGATTTCCCTTCGCTGTTGTTTTTTTTCTCAATAGTGCTATCCAACCTACGCATTGGTTATCTGGTACTGGGCGCCCTTGCGTGATAATTCATGATCGTACATAACTTTCGTAATACGTTCGAATCCTGGGAGTACGGTGCAGCATTTGCCGAACTACCGCCCAGAAACTGCTGGTACCGAAGCGGTATCATAAACTGGTCGAAAATGGCGTGACAGTGCTATGGGTTGTTTTTCTTAAATTACCACGAAGTCGATTGGAGGCATGAACCGCGGTTCCGGAGCGGGAGTGTGGAGCATGCGGGTTGAGTAGCGTCCCATGTATATTGTGTCGTATCCCTATCAAAGTGGCTTTTCCAGCGGAACCTAACGAAACCACGCTCCCTTCCACACCAAACTTGTACCGAATGATATCTCATGAACATCAGAATGTATTATTTTCCCAAGCCGCTGCATTTACGGTCGAGGAGGCGATAATCCCGCCCTCATGACCGCTTGCCGGCTGATTTTCCAGCGAGCCTATTGACGCTGGAGCGGGTTTGCGATCTCGTAAGGATTGGCTTATCATGATAGACAGAAGCATCCACTGATCCTGTCCGCCCATCAGTCTATCCCTCCGCCAATTCACCCACCACGCACACCCTCCTTCCTTTCGTCCACCCCCCTCCCCACCAAAAACAGCACCACACCCCCATACAAGTGGGAAACCAAACCCGAAAAACACAAAAAAAACTAAAACCACTGGAACACCTGACAAAAGAAAATGCCATCTGAGCACCCCGCTGCCACCACCCATCGCTGTCACAAGCGCCACCATCGCAGCCATGGCCTTGCAAACGGGGGCAACATGGTTAGTGGTTCTCAGAAGGCAAAAGCAGTGCACTGTCCCAAACACTCCATGCGTTGCCCCGGACGCCCCGTGCATTGCCCCAAACACCCCGTCCCACCCCCCACTCCCGCTCCCGCCCCCGCCCCGACTCCGGACGCACTGCCCCGCACGAGCGCGCAACGCAGGGCGGAATACCTCGCAAATCAACAGCCGCTCCGTCAACGCACCATCGCAAAGCATCTGGACAACTTCAGAGGCGTCTTGGTGGAAACGCGCAAGAGGGAGGGTCGGTCGGAGGCGTATTTCGAGATTGGCCGAGACGCCAATAAGGTGATTCGCCCGCTGTCCAAGGCCGATAGGGTAAAATTGAAGAGACGCAAGAGGTTGTTTAGGAAGGGGGAGGTCACGGTCTCCATGTGGAAGGCTTTGGCTCGGAAGGTATTTGGGAACAGAGAAGTTGAGTGATTGGCTTTCTGATTTCTTTACATTGTTTCAAAATTCTTTCCCCCCTTTCATTTTCCTTTTGTGGGAGTGGCTGATTGAGTGCTGGGTCACGTTCTGTCTGTGCGGTGTTGGTGGTGGGGGGAAATGATCGGGGTGCTTGTTTCCGGGTAGCTATCTCTACACCATACCTTCTTAGCTAGACCTTCGCATGTTATGAGCACTACATTTGGCCTCCTTGTCATTATCTGCCCGGAGTTTTTTTTTTTTTTTCACACTTGCCGAAATTCTTGAATTCTTTACCATACCAGACCCCTACCGCAACGATTTACTAGCAGGTTATTTTTGCGGCCTGCGGCATATGCTATTGTTTTCTCTCACAGCTGCTGCTCCGGTGTTCTTTATTGGGCGCTTACTTATTTCGAATCCGCAAAATTTGAGTCCGAGGGAGTGTCCTCCATCACTTTCCTTTCTTTCACTACTGTCATTGTGGACAGCCCTCCCTCGCTCTGAGGATCTGATGAATTTCAATCCGAGATCGCAAAAAAACTTGAGGGGAGCATAAACATCTAGCTTTCAGTTTTATTTCTTTTTTCTTTTTCTTTCTTCTTTTCCTGGAGTGTGTTTTCTGTGATCCTCTTTAGTACACATTCTGCTTCACACTCTCTTATCGCGAACGGACGCTGCTACTGGTGCTCGGACAGACCCCTTACTGTACTCCCGAGGTCACTATCACATGCTTAAACGGTATGGCCCAGAATTGATCCTCACCTCTCGCCACAGGGCGGTACATCTCCCGACCCCTACGTGTGGTTAAGCCATCTTCAATCTTCCGGCCCACCAGTAAATCGCACTGGCGCAGCCAACTGTCCAATAGTTCGAAAACAATTCCCGAGATGGAGGAAGAAGCTTGGAGCGGCGGTCGTGCTGCCTAATATTCCGAGGGTATGATACACCCAAAACAAGCTCTCCCACTGTCTGTATTTGAAAAAAAAAAAAAAAATAACCATACTGCTATCATTTTCCAGGATTTTCCACCGGTTCCATACGAGTCGGTGATAATCACATTGCACCCAAATACTACTCGCTTGTGTTGGAGGGAAACCTGGTGAAGCCTCTCAGCACCAGTCTTTACAAGCCGTGTAAAAGAAAATACAATATGATAATAATTTAGTATTCCGGAAGTGAGATGTTTTGCAGTATATCGTGGGTTGGCCGGGGGGTATTACACCTTCCAACCGTCGTTGCACTCTTAATAGCTTAGAGATTAAATTAACTTAAGCAGTAGTAGTACTCGAGTGATATGCGGTGGATCAACGCGAACAACTTTAAACACATTTCATAAAGGGACGTGAGTACGGCTATGTGTAAAAGTGGGAATCAGGGAGGAAGGAGGGAAACAGTAATATGTGCTGACAATGGACAGCTTTGTCTCTAAAAGGGAATTTGAGTAATTGCTGTTTCCCGGAGGCCGCTGTTGGTGGTTTGAGAGAATATATTCTTCAATTCGCACCTTACATGTGTCTGACTATATCACATACAGAAACCTGGGGGACAGTCTATCTCAAGATATATAATTGTAAAAACTTGAAGAAAAACTTGCTGGGGGGTTTTTTTTTCTTTTCAGGACCTTGATGGGAAATGGAATTTTTGATACTCTATTTTCTTACTATAACAATAATTACTACAACCATAGTTCCACTCCATACCATAAGTAAAAGGTTCAATATAGAAAAGTGTTAAAGGAACAGGTAGTAGGAGTTCACTTAACAAGGAGTTATATGAATACAAGAGATGATAACAAATCTTCTTAAGATAATATACTAAGTAAAGATACTAGTGTCAGTCCTTACATCAACTCACCAGCAATATCAGAATACTAGTTCCAGTTTATCCATACCAGAACTTGTCAAGTCTAAAAGGGTATACTCTAGAGTTACTACAATTTAGTTATTTGCTTCAGATATGATAGAGAATGCTGTTACAGATGTGTTATGAAGATTTTATTTTTTAGACCTCAGTTGGGACTATTGAGAAATAACTTGCAAAACATAGTATTTATAAGCATATTAAAGTTAAGAGACCAATATTGATACTTACTCTAATAAGGAAAGTATATGGATAAAAACTTAGATATAGTATTGAGCAATTAAATAATGGAGGAGAGTATTCTGAAGTAATGAATATGATATAAAAAGGTATAGTATAAATCTAACTAGTCAATAGGTTTTTAAAACAATTATGAAAAAATAGCTTTCAGAGTATATTAAGGGAGTGAAGAAGTCAGAAGGAGTCAAGCAGACAGTATGAGTACATTTTGTCAGTAGATTGAAGTGTACATGTAATGGAATAAGAAGTAGATGATGGTGAAATAATGGGTACAACTTAAGGAGTATATGTTAGAATTTTAAACCTCTTACTACTCAACTTTTTAGTAGAAGTGGAGGAGAAAGATATTAGTCTAATTTTCATGCAGAATAATATCATTTTTTATCAGATCTCAACTCCACGGAATATGTTTAGGATTGAAACTGCTATGAAAGCAAAGGGATCACACACTAAATTGATAACACCTATTTACCCATCTCATTCCAACTATCCTATAAAAGATTTATGCCCTTCTATGTATATCCAGATTTATGCGGTGATTGATACTGAGGAGTGGTATGCTGACACGAACCATTGTCAAGCATGTCAATGATCAATCTTGTCCCCATACTACACTTGGACCACCAGAACCGAGGGACCTACATAGTTTTCACCGGTAATCACTCGCCACCATCCAGCGGACTCTCCGAGTGTGTTTCAAGGCACTGCGCTGTTGGGGAAACTGCAATACAATTGCTTGCCATTTTCGCCATCGTAATTTCCATAGTTTCGGAGCACCAAAACTTGGAGGACGCCGTGAATGGATAGGGTGTGTTAACCTACTCCATCGGCTTCACAAGGGGCAGAATACAGCAGTAGCAGGGTGGTAGAAGATGGTATCGGGGAAACTCCTGTGAGTGGGGGAATCTCTGCGACCTAAACTTTTGAACATCACTTTGTGTTATACGGCGTAGTAGCGGGCGCACCCATCATTGGAAGGATTTCCTTCCCAAGCTATTCCTCGAGATGATGAAGGAGTAAATGATACAGATGGATGGGTGGAAGAATTGATGGCCAGGCATCAGGAAGGCTTCGGAAGGAACCAGGGTAGGAATGTAATAGGGATTATCACCTTTCAAAAGCTCATTGAGAACTTCCCCTTGTATCGTTATCTACACACTGCAATTGGCGCTCCGGACGTTCGCTCTTTACGCTAAGGCACCGGTGCACATCTCCTTCATCCCTCGAAGGATCAACACAGCAACGGCACAGTAGCACTACAGTGCAGCGCTGTACAGAACACAAATATTATATACCCTATCCTCCAAATCTGCATCTGGGCGCAATTGGCACCACAAGGCATCACACCATACTACACTCCACCAAATCACCTACTTGTGCCCGGAGCACCCAGCGGCGGGGCAAACAAGCATGGGAGCTACGGCGGTAATATATAGCAGGGCTAGAACGGATCCGGCATGGCATAACTGAACCCTACCCCACAGCGACGCACTAAGTATAACATCATAGTCTAATAAATTTATATCCCTCGCTCCCGGGGTCAGCAATTCCAAACCAGCCCGCGTATAGCATTTAAGCTAGGCCACGCCGCCGCAACCACAACTTCGCCAGGTGCTCCATCACCATTCCTATATCACATCACAACCGAAAGAAAAGAAATGAAAGGAAACCCCACGCGCGCCCCGCGACTGTCAAGCTCGATTCTACACGTGAATTCCCACCCGCGCGCGCGCGCGAGCGAGTGAGAACCGCCAAAGTAATCAACGGAGATGGTCGTGTCATTAACGACGCGGTCTGTAGCTTCCATACTATGATACCTCCAGATCCCCATCCCATCTCTCCGTCTCCAACCCCCAAGCATCATCCTTGCTCCACCCCCACCACCATTACCTACCGCCAC